TATTGAATTCCATTGATCGCAATATATTTTCTTTTCTTGCCGTCATCGGACAGAGGAACAGCACTAAATGCCCCAGGCCGCACTGTTTTTGGTTTTCGAAAACTCTCAGCTTCGTGTGGTATGTTCAATACATTTGAAGAGATATGCAGAAGGGGACGTCTTGCAACATCACGCGGCTGAACTTCTGGTTTATCAAGATTTTCCTTGTCTCGTATACTTGACGAATTAGGTGGTGTTTTATGCTGAGAGCTTTCATTTGAGCTTGCCATTTCAAGATCTTCATTTCGAGTTCTTTTTGACATTCTGTCGAGTTCATTAAGTCGTTTTTGTTCGTCGATGCGCAGCCTAAGTTCCAGCTCCTTCTCTTTCCAGAGCTCGACGTCATTGTTATGCTGTCGAAGTTCGGTAAAGACGGAAATTCCGGTCTCGAACATGTTATCTTTTGAGTGCCAAGGCGTTGGCGTGGATGCAATATTTTCTTCATTACTTGATTCGGGGACTTTTGGTGCTCTCATTGGCGGTCCAAGCAGTCGCCCAAAATGCCGCGACCCTCGTATACGCTTTGATAACCGTGGTTGGGGCTGTTTGAATATCTCTCCCGGAGTGGTAGTGGCAGTATGACTTGTCAGGCCATTATGTCGAGGTTCTGATTCGTCCATAGAATTGATATGGTCGTCTGTGATGGAATTATGAGTGTTTGATAGTTCTTGTCTCCTCAATCTTGGAGAATGTGTCGAGAATGAGTTGCCGGGGCTTGTGTGTGATGGAGCCGACAGGGCATCATGGTTTAGTGGAAAACCGGAAGAGCCACGATCGCCGAAATGAACGGAAAGTTTGTTTTTCAATCCTTTCAGTTGTGGGAAATCTAATTCGTATACACCCGTTACCTGAGATCCCGGCACCGGCTTAGTTCGTTCGTTCAATAACGAAATGCTATATGAGCTGAGTGCTGGTGGTACAAAAGTGGCATCATCTTCAAAGAACGGAAATTTATTGTCTTTTATTACCACTTTTCGAGGTCGAGGTGTTATATCGTCCGACGGCATTTCATAGGGAATAATGTATGATTGGGGTGATGAGGTCTCAATGAGTGTATCCAGTACGCTTCTCGAGGTAATTAAACGTGCTTGTAAACAAACCGTAGTACAGATGAAAATACGCGATTCAGACTGCATATAAGTTGTTCAAAAGGGCGAAAAAAAACAATTGCTCCACGGCAGGTTCGAACTGTCGACCTTCAGATGACACAGTTATAAACTATGAGACTGACGCTCTGCCAACTGAGCTAGTGAAGCCAATTGCTGGTACAGAATGTAGAATGTAGGTTGAAGTAGGGCAATGATGAAAATATTCTAAAGTGCATTTGATACCTCTTGGAGCTACAGTTTATCATCTCGAGATCGCCATAGTAATCCATTATTTCTCTAGGCAAAGAACTGATTAGGTTATGCAACGTTTGTGATTTCGTTGATACTTTTTGATAAAATTTGTAGAATGCTGTAATCGTTTAGTTTAGTTCAGATTTCGCAACATGGAAATCTCGGGCTAGGTACAGATACGAATTCACTTCGCTTTGCGTTTTCAAATCTCGGGTGCAAACTTCCGAAGATTTGACTAAATAATGACTTTGATGAACACTTTACCTTCTTTTCCAGTAAAAAAGTAAGTGAGCAGAAACCCGTGATTATCAGTTTATTGCGTGTTTTGTATGCTCCAATAGAGGCAATCAACTCACAAATATATATCGGTTTGATTAACCAGGTTTATCCTCCTGAAGTGGCTCAGGCTTATATTGGGGCTCGAGAGAAAGCAGAGCAAATCTTGGTTGTTTAAGAATCTTGATGAATTGAAGCAGGAAACATAAACCTTATACGGATGTAAATCAAGTCTCCGAAATCAATGTTAATACGAAAATGAGTGAACGCACGGCTCTCACATGTTAGCTGCTACATTCCATTAATACATTATCAAATATGGGCCTGGTTTGCGACCCCAACACAACCAGAAGGTGTGATATACCCAGCTCAGAAATTACACTTAAATGAGCTTGGAAAAGTTACTGCGGAAGAATCTTCCCGTTGTATGAGCTTTAAACTAGTGGTTTTGTGTATCTCGTGGATGCTTCGAATAGTTTATTTTTGTATCATCCCACTTTCTCAATTTGTTACGTTTCTCAAATTCTCGATATATGTGTTCACCCTAACCTTCTAAAAATAACTAGTAATTCGGTGACAGCTACGAATCTCCGTGGTTCGAGAACTAAATCCCCGGCCGCATACAGTTACGAAAGAACCTGCAGCCGTCAACATGTGGGTCGCGCTTTGGCTTGATAAGCCGTGTTCTATTTTTAGCATTCAGATTTATCAGATTCTGTGAGATGGTTACTTGCAGCCGTCTTGAATCGTTAGTTGCTGATCAGAACTGACACTGATAAACTAAGGTGTGCCTGATACATCTAGATAATAACAATTCTGTGATTGACTTGTTTTACTTTTGCCGTAGTTTGAGAAGTGAAATATTTACGATGCTTCGGGCTCGCAACCTGCGGCTGTAACTATTTTCAACCTTTCCACACTCAGCGTATAGGGGCAAGATGCAAAGGCAAGGTGGTATTACGAACCAGGGAAAAAGTCATGGTCGATACCAAGAGTCAGTACAACATTCCATAAGAAACTAGCAAACGATCTAGAATTTATTAAATAAACCCTGCCGACTTCTGTCATTCCTTCAACATGAGCCGTTCCATTTTTTCAATTATAGATGATTTGTGGCGCGGCATGCATACCTGAGTAATCCATTGGGCCTTCCGGAGCTATATAAAGGTAGCAGGAACTACCTAAAACCTCAGTATGTCTTCATATTTAGTAACCTCGATTCCTAAATGGACTCCAAGTTCCATCCCAACTCACACGGTGCTTACTTCGGTAGCTGCCACACACTCTTCGAAATTGGCAAAGTCTTTATCGTCTGCAACTGCTAGATTGGCGACGGAAACACTCACCGAAAATATTCAGAGTCTTACATGGGTTGTGAGAGGTGCTCAAGCTTCGTTAACCGTGATTAGTGCTGAAAATGTTTTAGCAACGGCCACAGATTCTTCAGTCCAGGCCAGGGCAACCCAGGCTATCTTCGACGCTACCTTAAACATGAAAGAGCTCGTGGACGAACAAAATTTATATGGGTACAACCTCAATGTTGGTGCCAATTATTTTTTTCTTGTCGTCTATGGAATCATCACTCTTTACTTTTTATTGATGTGTACCATTTCACGATACCATTGGTTCAACATAACGTTTTTGTTAGGTTACGGACTTGAATTTGTGGGGTTCTTCGGAAGAATCAAAAGTATTCATGATGTAACCAATACAAACTGGTACATCATGCAATTCTTACCCTTGACTATAGCACCGGCTTTCATCATGGCGGGAATTTACTTCTTCTTAGCCCAACTAACTGTGGTATACGGCCGTCAATTCTCGAAATTAAGGCCCATGTGGTACTCATACCTATTCATTTTATGTGATATTGCATCTCTCTTGATTCAAGCAGCGGGTGCTAGTATATCTTCCGACACCTCTAACTCACAGAAAATGGAGCATATAGGGCTTGACGTTGTCATTGGAGGTGTTTCATTTCAGCTTCTTGCCATGACCATTTTCATACTTCTTTGGCTCGATTTTTTCAGAAAAGTCTACTTTGCAAATAACAGCGATACGGCCACTATGAACGCAACATTCAAGAACTACCTCAGGATGCATTGGTCCACCGAGAAGGCTTATAACTTTCAAAGAAATGTGAGAGAACCGTACTATAATTCGAAATTTGCCGATATCAGAAGTAGGAAACTTATGAGATACTTCCCACTATATGTGTCGATTTCGTTGGTTCTTATCTATCTTCGGTGCGTGTATCGGATTGTGGAATTTGCTGTTGGATTTTCTGGCTTCATCGTAAACCATGAAGCATTTATGATGGTTTTCGATGCAATGATGATATCTCTTGCAGGTTGCATTTACTTGTGTTTCCATCCAGTGTGGGTTTTCGGAAGGCACAATGTTCTTAAGAGAAAGCACATTAGTAAACGCAAGGATGTGGAAGAGGAATTGAAAAGCAACAGTGAGACCGAAATGATGAAGGATTTCGCAGACCCTAGTTGATATGAATATGCAGAGTAATGAACTTATGGTAGCAAGCTTCAAGGTAGTAAGTAGCATCGACAATGTCTCACTGAAGATTACCAGTTCCTGCTTTTTTTTTGCACCCATGGATATAATTCATTCTGTTGCAATTTCTGGGGGTCAGCATTGGGACAAAAGTTGAAAAATTTGTATTACCTCCTTGTATTCCCTTGTCTATAGCGTTTATTGTCAACTCAGAACCCTCCTGTCATATCTCTAATTTTATCAACTTCCTCTTGTAATGCACGAAGATCATGGAGAATATCTGAAGTACTGTTACTCTCTGTTTCATGCTTATAAAACAGCACGGGATCCGGCTGGTCTCCATTGATAGATACTTTAGGCGGCAAAGCTGGAGGTTGAGGTGAAGAAACTGAAGGAGATGCTCTTCGACGAGATGGAGGAGGAGGCGGTGGTAATTGTCTTCCATTCTGTGACCTGTTTTTCAATGGTGATATCTGATCTTCACCAGTATTCCAATTTGGAATTGGCGAGGACAATGATCGATTTCGTCTAGCTGGAACAGGAGGCGGTGGGAGTGCACGTTCTGCTGATGAACCCAATTGAGCATTGCGAAGAGTATTGTCTATAGTATTTCCAGTCATCTGATCAGTAAACGACTGCAATGAAACACGAGGAGTTGGATCTACCTTTTCAGTAGGGTCTGGCGAGAATAGCTGTGCCATTTGCTCGGGATTGGTCACCTGGGGATGGGCAGGTTGTTCTTCTTGGTTGCCATTAAGACCATAAAGCCTTGCCATTTGAGCTGGTCCTGTCATATTTGGTTGCAAAAGCTGTGGGGTTTGTCTTGATGGTGATGGACTGAGCATATGGGCCATTTGCGCTGGTCCCGTCATATTGGGTCTAAGTAAGTTCTCGGAATGGCGATGCGGATGGATGGTGGACGGCACCCCATCTATGGATGCTGTGTCCACAGAATTGAGGTTTTGGAAGTGGTTTATCTGGGGTTCCATATCTCTTAATATCTGAGCCTCTTCATCGTCTGTCTTTTTGGAGCTGAGATTGTTCAACAATTGGTTCATTGGGAGCGAGTAGTCAAGCGGCTGAGGCAGGGGTGAGTGACCAGGAGTCATCTGGGCAGAGTCATGAACATCGGTAACTATCTGGTCAGAAAACTTGACCGACTTTCGTTTCTTCGACGGCGCTTTTCGTGCATCTGGTCGCTCACCAGTAAGAATAAATTGAGTAAAACTGTCCAAGTCAAGCGGTTTGTCTTGATCCTGAGATGATGGTGCAGATACTCCAGTGTCTTCCTCTTCGTCATTCTGGCGTTTCTTAGACAAAATGGAAGGCGGAGTAGGGACAGAAGCTGGAAGGGTAATGAGCTTTCTTGATGGTTCGGCTCCATTCAATGTATGGGCAATGACCCTAAGCAATGCAAAAAACTCCCCGATATTGATGGAGTATAGTATTTTATTGAATATGCGGTTGATATGGTTCTTTATCTCGGCACTGATCTTGAAGTTGCCAAGAAAATTGTACACGTCGTTCATACTGATTGTTCGAGTATTTGTTCGAGCAAGTATATCACTATACCATCTCATGTATGTCTTCGACTCTTGCAAGGTGAGATCCTGGGCTTTGAGTGAAAGTGGAATGCTTTGATCTCCCATGGAATCGTCGTATTCATTGCTCTTCCTTGTATACGGAAGATGGTCTTCCAGAGCAGTTGAAAGTGATTGAACTCTTGGCAGAGGTTGCTGGAGCAGAGGATTTGACCCGAATGACACCGGTGGAGCCGGAGAAGTCGATCCTGACGGCGGGGGAACGTTTAACCAATTGAAACCTTCCATGGTTACGGTGTGATTTTTGGATGAATTTAAGGTTGATAGATGTGATTGGAAACGAGATTGGAAAGTTTTCTAGGTTCTCTATTGTGCGTCTGATATGCTGTGGACCACCTAGGACTTGTTTATGTTGGGCGTTTGTTGCTTGGTGGTAGACGCTTTACCGTGTATGATCTCTCCTTCAACTGTGAATCTCAGCCGGCGCGCGCAGTTTCAAACCGATAGGAACGGCTAGGGCGATGAAGTTCCAATTGAGGAAGGGCAACGCTAGTAGTGGGAAAAAGGGCGAGGGAGAAGCTCAAGTTGTGG